ATCTTCTCCTTCTCTTCCTCCTCTTCCAACTTGTCCTGCAGGAAGCTTCTTATTTAGCATTCCTCATTGTTTTCATAGCGTTTTGACTTGGTGACACATTATGTAGTTCGTTTTCTTATTATGCCCATTGTTTCTTCTCTGTGTCTCTTGGTCCCCTTTTGCCAGAACCTAGACATGGTGAGGGCGGGACTCCTTTGCTTACTGACGCATTGTAAGCATGCACAGCATTGCCTGGAACATAGTAGCTACTCAGTAAGTGTCTGATGAATTGTTGAATGAAGATATTTAGGCAGTATAAATAGATTTTAAATATAAGTGCAAAAAAAGAGTGTGTTACTCTGGTACCACTTTAGGTGTAAGCTACCCGTACAGCAGACTTTACAAGGACAAAGGAACCAAGTAGAATAAAGGGAATTTACAGTGTGTATGTGTGTTTTCTCTTCAACTATTTAAAATCTGAAATCAATTATTTCTTAAAGCAATGAGTAGGAACTCTTAAACCGACTCAATGAATAGGTTCTTTCTTATTTGAGATTCTGCTTAGAATACTTTGCATTAAGAGGTGCTTAGTAACTGTCAGTTATTATTATACTTTTGATATGTGGATGTGTACTTTAAATAATTTTGAATGAATAATTATACTATTTTTGCAGCCTCATCAACTTCATAAATTAAGTGTATTGCAACTCATTTGACTTGTGTTTATGTATCTGTTTTGAATTAAGAAACTTCATGCTTTTAAACCTCTGTTGAACTGGTTCAGTTAAAATATTTGTGCAAGGCCCCAGGGTGTGGCTGCTGCGCCATTTACTAACGCGATGTGGTTACAGTTGGTCCTCGGGAGACCTGTGAGCCCCTTCTTTTTCAGGTGTGGTCGAACTCCGTCACTGAGATAACCAGCGGCAACCTCTGTGCAGAAGACGGGGACTCCTCCCTGGGGGAGCTGGTCTACCAGGTCGCGCCACCCAGCAACGGGCACCTGGCGCTGAAGTCCTCTCCCGACCACAGCATCCAGAACTTCACCCAGGCTCAGATTAATGAGGGCCTGGTAGTGTTCGCACACTCTGGTAAGTCGGGTGGTGGGCAGGGGGAGAGGAAGAAGATAAAGAGGTACGATGTGCTGCGCACATGTGCTGACGTCCCAGACGGCAAACATGGACTCAAAAAATTAAAAAAAAAGACGAACAGTGTCCAAAACAGGTCACAGAGCAAAGCAATGTGAAACTAAAATGTGTTTCATTCAGTGGTTCCTGTGACGGTCATACCTGAGGACTGCTGAGTGAAAACTGCATACATGGAGAAACCTCTCTCTCTCTCTCTCTCTCTCTCTCTCTCTCTCTCACTCTCTCTCTCTCTCTCCCCCCCCCCCCCTCCCTCCCCCCTCCCTCTCTCCCTCCCTCTTTTCCCCCCTCCACTGGAATTGAACTCAGGACCTCTCACTTGGCCAGGCAGGCCCTGTTCCACTGAGCTATATCCCTGGCTTTTCCACGTAGAAACCTAGAAGCTCGGTAATTTCTTAAAAAGTGACATGTTTAGTGAGGCTAGTAATAGCAAACCATAGAGTACCTTTGACTCCCACCAGACTTAAACAAATTGTCATGTAAAGTCAGACATCTCTTCTTTGAGCCTTTCCTTAATCTCTCACTAACGTAACTTCTCTTTTCTGTCTCGCTTCATGGCTGTCCATCCTTCCTAGCGTAGTTCAGACTTTTTTTTAAAATCTTTTTGTTTATTTATTTGGAACAGGGTCTTACTATGCAGCTCAGATTCGTAGTGATCCTCAGCCTCCCCAGCTCTGTGAGTATAGATGTGTGCTACCATGCCCAGTTTTGGTGGCTGACATGGTGAGCCTAGGCTTCTGGGGCCAGCATGGCATACAGTACCTGGGGTCGAACTTAGGTCTTTGCACTTTCCAGGGAGGCGCTTAGACCACTGAGCTAGCTTCCCAGCCTCAGATTTATTTGGATATTTGTTTATTATTTGTTCTTCCTCATCATAGTCTAAGTAAGGTAAGGACAGGATATCATGTACCCTGAGCCCCTAGGACATTATAGGTGCCTAATAAATAAAATTTTGTTGCAAGAGCGAAATACTTATTATGTATCAGGTAATAAGATTCTAGATGTTGGGAATACATGGGTGAAAACGAGCATACTTGGTCAAGGAATGAACAAGATTGAAGGAAGGAATATAACTTTAACTCAGAGATTTGACATTGAATGTCCTTGTCTGCTTGTCTTGTTCATCAGTAAATCAGTATGCCAGACAGCTCGTGGAAGTCTGCAGAGGGGGTGACCCAGGCACAGAGCGAGGGCAGTCGGGCTTTGTTCTCAGGCTGTCCTTGTCACTGGAGGGGGAGTGCGAGGGGGAGAGAGCAGGAGCAGGAGGGCATGATCAGAAGGTTGAGACATCCATTTTTCTGTTATTCGACTTTATCTTGTAGTAAAGTTAAAATTGAGACAGCCTCTAAATCCAAATGTGGCAATGTCGTGATTGTCTTTGCCGGTGACACCTGGGATCCCTAGAGAATCTGAAAGTCACTCACCATGTGGATGTTCGCGTCTAGTGGTTCTGAACCTGTGGCCCAGGACATGTAAGGCTAGAACTGATGTAAAACTATCCCAAGTATATGTCAAGGCGTTGTTTCTGGACTTCATAATATTTCAGCGGACGTGTGCCGAGCACGTTCCTAGAGTCCCAGCACTGGGTAGGCTGAGGCAGGAGGTCCTAGGCTGGGCTGCGCTAATGGGGAGCTTGAGGGGGTCTGAGCTGCAAAGAGACTCTAAAATTCAGCAACTAAACTACAACAAATGAAACCCATACATACGTGTTCCTGGCTTTAAAACATGTTTAGAAATGCTGAGAAACTGAATAAAATTCATTTTAAAAGGCATGAAATTGACAGTTTCTTTTAGTTATGTGCTTTTCAATAGAAGATACCCAAAGTCTTAGGGCATCTAGGTGTCTATTTTTTAAAATTAATTTTATTGAGAAAGAAATAGCAGTGAGACAGGTTAGTAGGACAGTTACAATAATTAATACATTGCATATTGTTGTCTTTATAGTAGTTATTCAGAGGACAAGATGCAGACATGTTATCTTGTCTAAACACTATTAATACAAACCTCTCTTCTCAATGAACCGAGAGAAAGTAGTTGTGTATCTTTCCTATTTTGTATATACATATATTTTTTTTTCACCATAAGGTTAACACCAATGGTCCTTCATTTATATCCCCTTTTTTTGTTTAGTTTTGTCAGAGATGAGTATTCCATTGCCATTCAAATATTGTAGGTACATGAATTCATCAAAATAATACAATATAGTCCAGTAGTCCATAATAGTAGTGGGTTATCTGTAGGACTGGCAATGTCAGAAGTTGTTGACTTGAGCCTTTTACAGCTCAGCATATTAATATGGCTTTACTTTTTATATCTCATGTTTGTATTTTGATGCTGGATGGTTAAGACCAAGATAAAGCAAGACCTATATAACAAGAAATGTAATTTTGTATTTGACAAGGTCAGTCAAATCCCTTCAGGATTTACCCTGAAACCATGTACAGTTTAGGTGTCTAGAAAGCTTTTTAAATGAAAGGATTATCATACTTTGTGGAAAGAAACAACTTCTCTGGAGGCTTGTATAAGGAAAGTTTTTAATTTCTGAAGCTATCCTGTTTATTTTGAAAAGCAGTTGCCAATTGTTTCAAATTGCCAAGCACTGTACAAGATTTCATTTCATCTCTAGATGTGCTCTAAGCAATAGAGACTAATGACCCCATTTTTCAGATGAAGAAATGGAGGTTCACAAAAACTCGATTGTTCTGATCCTAAAGCTGGGCTTTCTTCATTAGTCCCAACCTACTGAACGTCAGAGCAGTGGGCAGAACCGAAGTTACTGTTTACCATGAAGGATCAAAATGAAATTTAGGACTCTGGGTTGATTGATTTATCAGCTCGCAGGTCAATATTTGCTTGATGAGTAGGAGAATAATTTCTCCTCAGAAAACAGGAAGGAGAGTTAAAGGTAAGGTTAACACCAGAGCCAATCCATTACATCTCCTAAATGGAGCCGAGTGCCAGATGAATGTGGTCCCAAGAGCAGCTGTCCCCACGTGGACATCTGTGCAGCAGCAGCCCCACACAGACTGGGGTCCAATTAGCCCCACTTAGCACTTTGCATTTGCGAAGTGCTTTGCCATTAATCTAACTCCCTGTCCACATAGCATCCTAAGAAGCCTGATAAACCCAAGAAGTGGGAAGCTAAGTGAGGCGCCGTTGTCTTTTGAAAAGGACTGTTACTGAAAAGTTGTGCAATTATAGAGTAGGAAATCTACAGGTCAACCCTGTTTTTGTATCTTCTTCCTTATCTTCTTTGGTCCTTGTGAGTCTAAAAGGATGCACTCAATTTAATATTCTATTTATTTTGATGTAAGTTCTTTGATATCAGTTCCATTTTGTATCTGAATTCTTGAAGTATTCACTGTCCAATGATAGAAAGCCTTCTCTCCTTAATTTCATATTTCATTAAATATAATTTTTAAAACACTCATTCTAGAAAAACAAACAGTGCAAAACAACATTTGGTTTTGGGCCCCTGTTCTGAGTTAGACTTAGCACTCACTCGCCCTCGCTGGGAAAACTTTACAGTCTCTTTGGTGAAACATCAGAACTCTCTGGGTTTGCCTAGATAACAGAAACAAAATACTGTCAACCCGTTGATCTACCACTTAGTAAATTGTGTCATTGAGGGTGTACTTGGTCATGATTATGAGACTGACCACGCCTCCTTTATTCCCTGTAACCTGCTTCTGAGAACAGCAAAGATACGTTTGCACCCAGCACAAGAACACAGCCCCGTGGGCCTCGCCATTTAGTACTGGATGGGCATCCTCAAGGGAAGAAGAGGGTCTGAACCTTGAGCTGTCTGCACTGGGGTCTTGCCCGGTGCTTGAAGGCAGATTGGTAAAGCACCCCTGGGAACTGAATCAATTGAGGTTGTGCGCATAAGTTAATCATCAACTTTACTGATCCCACCAATGCCTTGACACCAGTGTGAGAGTGGAGTTCCCTCCTTGCAGAGATTTAATGAAAGCAGGACTTTCATTCCCTTCCCTTTTCCCTCTTGGCAGAATTGTTAGCTCGAGATAGATGCATAATTGAAAATAAGTCTTGGGGGGTGATAAGTATTATTCATAAATTTTGATTCTTAGTATTACTAAGATTTCAAACATTTTTGTGTGTATGTGTGTTTTGTGTGTTGCAGTCACGCACTACTAAACTGGTATAAGTGATTATAAAATTGATAATAAAATTCAGGTGAGGGATATGTCTAAATTGTTTTAATTTCTTAGAGATAAAAAGCTCTGTTACATTTTATTGTAGGATTGGGGAACAGGCACTTAAGTCAGTCATTCATCACTTGGTGTTAGAGTTTTTCTGAGGAAGGGGTCATCAAGCAATTCCTTGATTGTGCAAACATGGGAGAGTGTATTTACACGAACTAGGCCGGCTTTGATGCCTTTTGATGATACGCATAATCTCGTGGGCAGGGGTCCTCTATGTGGTCTCCTGTCCACGGAAGTGTTACGTGGCGCACGGCTGGATGGGGCCCCGGGGGCTTAGTGGGTGTATTGACACAGGGTGTGTTTCACAGAGTGCCTTCCTGGGGAAAGGAGGGGAAGCTGGGTGGTTTTGCCGAGGAGCAGGACTAACCAGAATGTAATTTCGGGATTAACCAGAGTGTAATTTCTTCTTTTGAAGGAGCAGCTTCGGGAAGCTTTGCTTTTCAGGTTACTGATGGCTTGAACTTCACGCCCCCGCAACTCTTTAGCATTATAGCCCAGGAGCTGACTCTGAGCCTAGGAGTTAACAGAGGACTGAGCGTCTTCCCGGGTAAGAGTTCATCTTGAGCCATTTGGTTTGAGTTTTGAGTATGTCAAAGTACCGTCTTTTTCTACAGAATAATACCAGTAACATTTCTACAATCCCAAAAGGATTTACCAGAAACAAAGTTGGGCTGTCTGCAACAGTTCTTCCTTGTTTGTCCTCCTCAGGAGAGGGTGTGCTAGAGAAGTGCAGCAGGGGGAGTCAGGCAGGAGCTGTGGTGACAGTCCATGAGTCCTGACTGCCTCCTATCTGCTTACACTGCTTAAAAAGCCACAGAAGGCCAGGCTACGTGCAGCCCACCTTGCTCTGCTCTCTTGAAATTTTTGCATTTGGAGTAGAAAACCCTGTGCAGCACCTAGACTGAGGAGGGGCCCTGCAGCCTTCAGGTGGCTCTTGGGCAAGAGTGTCAGCCTGGCTGATGTGGAAGAAGGTACAGAGGAGGCTCTTGAGCCAACGCTTTCATAGAAGGGAAGGAAAGACTTACCCAATGGCTGGAGCAATTTTCCCACAAGGAGAACAAAAATTGGATTTATTATTTCCAAAAGGAGCACAGAGGTGTAAGTACAGGAAACAATAAAATTTCAACAGATCTTAATTGTGGGTGAGGAGAAAAAGCCAAAGGCATTGTGACTTATTTCAATGATATGCATCACCATTAAAACACAGGAGAACAATTACTTATGGTTACAGTAGCCATTTATTTGAACCAGTGGGAAGAGTTGGGATAGACCTTGTGAGTCATCTGATGTGATTGCTCTTTGTGTTTTTCACAACCCAAGTAGCAGTGACCCACTGTATCATGTAGGCGAGGCTCAGGCTCAGGCAGTCGTGTCACCTCATTGTCTTTCCAGGGACCTAACTGAGCTTTGCTCAGCCTGCATTCTACAGTAGTCAGCCGAGGGTTGGTGGTCCCTGTGGCTGTGAGAAGCTGTGGGGTGTCGTCCTCATAGAGGCTCACGCCTCCCCCTCCCTGGGGTCTCCCAAGCAGCTATCATCATGGCTTAGCTTGCGAGGGAAAAGCATCTGGCGTCGTGCCTCAGGGTGTGATCTCAGATACCAGATTGTCAGCCCTTGTGGCTTTGCACGCTCACAGTCAGATGTTCTAAGTTATCAGGGAAAATGTATCCCTTTTTTAGAACTGAGGATTTTTAGATCTATTTTAAAAATAGAAAAGCTATTTCTATTATAGATTAGAAATTTGGATGCATTGATAATTTGTGTTCTTATGGTATTTTATAATTTTAACCTACTACCCTGGGTGGCTATAAGGATTTAAGTAAAATAATGTATGTAAATGAAAGCTTTGATGCATCCCCAAGTGATAGCTAAAAACGATGGAGGCTTGGGAAGGTTTAAAGTCATTTAACTAATAGGAATTATAAGCTCCAACACTGAGACCTGAAGCTGACCCCAATGCTGTGCGTACACCTGGGGCTCCTCTCCTCTGTGTTCCAGGGCTGCGTCTGTTTTGCAGCTTCACCTCTTTGGGAAGTTGCCGCGGTAGCTGTTCATTTTGTCTCATTGTCACCGTTTCCGATGTATTGAAATGCACAACCAGGAAAATATGCATAGCAATTTAGTAGAGAGAGGTGATTATGTAGAAATGTGATTTATTTAGTTTGGTTAAAGAAATACTGCCACCTGGCATTCGTTAGCACAAATAATTTTTTTTTTAAAGTTCGCATTGGTTCCATACCATTTAGTCTTTCTTTACCAGCTCATCAGACATCAGCTATTTGTGGCTTGGCTCCTTTATGCAGCTGGCCCCAGAAAGTGGCTCTGGCTGAGACTTGAAAGTGTTTCTGTGGGGAACCAAAATGATGATCAGAATCTGTAGCGTGGTGAATCTTTCAAGGTTACCCCGTGGCCTCGACGCCCTCCCAAACTGAAAATCATTTTTTGCCTCAGTTACTTCAATGTAGGAAATTGTCTAGCTCCAAATTAAATTCTTTTTTGTGAACTAAAAAAAAAAATAAATAAATAAATAAATAAATCCACATAAAATATTTTTATCTTGTTATTTTTGGTTTGTTTTGTTTTATAGTTTGAATATATGTGTATGTGTAGATGTGCGTTTATACTATATATGTTTATGCATGTACAATACGTATGTGTATATGTATTTCATTGAAACATATTTTGTTTATTTCTGCAAGATTCATTCCCCGGAAAAAAATTTTGTAACACTTTTTCACATTGAATGCCACCATTGATTTTGTTTGTCTTTAGTGGTGGATGTTAGAATTTACTATGGTCTTAGGATCTAGTTATTCTATTTATCAAAATCGTACTTGGCGCTTTTTCAAGGAGCCAAGAATGCCTTGAACGTTGGAGGGATTTACACTGCGAGTTTTACTACCACAGACGAGTCTAGAATCCAAGCTGACATATACCCAGAGGTCGGCCGTCTGGGAGCGGCGTCTTCCTAGCAGTCTGTGACTTCATTCTCTTTGGCGTGATGTAGAGGGAGTAACATCTCATTGCTAAACCATCTGTCGCCTGGGGCAGCAACTGAAGGAGAGAAGAAGAGAGACAGGATTCATAGTGTGTTGCAAAGGAATATACAGCAGAGATTCAGAAAACCTTTTAGCCAGTAGATGTTGTAAGACCTAATAGGAGGCAACTAAGAACTGTAAGAAAATATTGTCAGCCCTGAAAGAAATAAATAAGGGTTTCCTAAATGATGGGAGCAGGCTTCCATTCGGGAATACAGCATTGTGTAGACCGTGTTATGTTAAGTATCTGGCCAGTGGAACAGATGGGGCAGAGCTGTGGATCTCTCATGGGCTGGAGGGGCCTGGGAGAGCTTGGTCACTGAGACAGGGCTTAAGTTGCCCTGTACAGGGAGCACACTGTGAGCAGTGCCCCTGGGGAAGGGTGGACATGCCAGGGAAAGCAGCAACCACAGTGTGAAGGCCAAGGAAGACAAAGAATGGGTCTGAGAGGTAGAGAGAAATCTGGCAGACATACTGAACGGTCAGTCACATTATTTCCTAACTCAGATATGAAATTCAAAGTAGATTGTTCTAAGCAGTATAGAGGTGAACTGAAAGCACTTTGGAACAGCATGACTCTCAGTTACTCTTCTCTTGTTGCTGGGGCAAACACCTAACACCCAAAATGAAGGAAGGAAAGGTTTATTTAGCTCACAGTTACTGGAGGTTTCAGTCCATACTCAGCTGGCTCCAAGGCAGAGCGGCACATGGCAGAGAGCAGCACTTCATGGTGGTGGCGAAGAGCAGAGAGCAAAAGGAAGAGTAATAGCAACAATGACAACAAAGAGGAAGCCTGTCTCCCTTAAGTTGCATTCAGGCTACATGCCCCAGGCTTGGTGTCATACTCACTCCCAGAATCCCAGCAGTACTGGGCTGGCCAGATAGCTCAGCACATTAAGGTGCCTGCTTAGGCAGACGCACTGGCCATTTTAATCCTCAGCCTGCAGTGCCAGCCCCGCACCTGGGGTGTGCTGAGACAACAATTGAGACTGGGCATGATGGCGGACTCCTGTAATCCTAGTGCTTGGGAAGCTGAAAAACAGGAACGATCACTACAAGTCTGATGTGTATAGTGAGACCCTGTAGACCCCACAGACCCTGTACTAAATACATTAAAAAAAATAAATAATCTCAGCAGTAGTAAGACCCATAATCCCAGTGGATCATGAGTTAATCTCAACCTCTAGAAGTCCTCTCCCCATGACTACATGAGACTTTGGGGGGACAACTAGATATAAACTATAACAATGACTCATATGCGACCATCAGGTAAGTGTCTTGTATTCCTTCTTGGTGATGAGAAACAACTATACACCACCTAAGGTTATCGTGGTATAGAAAGGAAAAGGCAAGGAATGTGTGTATGCCGGTGTCTTGGTACAAATTGAGTATCTCTTGTCTGAAATGCTTGGTACCATAGGTGATTTTTTTTAAAAATCTGCATATATACAATGAGGTATGTTGGGGGTTGGACATTTATTTATGTCACATATACATCTTGTACACCAAGCCTCAGATAATTTTTTACATACCTACATTACTTTTTCTGTACCTGCATTTTGACTCTAGCCCATCAGTGAGGTCCACTCTATAATTTTCCACTATAGAGTTCAGTCAGTGCTCAAAAAGCTCAAGGTTTTGAAACATTTCAGATTTTAAATGTTTGGATTAGAACTCTCAGTTTGTACATCTTTGCCCCTTGTGGCAGGGCTTTGCATATATTGGGGACTTGATAATGTTTGTCAAGGAAATATATGAAGTTTCCAAACATGGTGATCCTGAAACCTTTGGTGTTATGGTGGTGGTTGTTTTTTGTGGAACAAACAACTGGGATAAAAGTGTGTTTAGGAAATAGTGTTTGAAAGAAGAATAAAACAGAAACCTACGCAAACTGTGAGCTAAGTAAACCTTTTCTTCCTTAAATTTGGGTGTCAGGTATTTTGTCCCTGCAATGAGTGAAAAGTAACTGAGACAGAATTTGGTACCGAGAGTGGGGTTGTTTCTGTAACTATACCTGACAGTGTGGATTATGAGCTTTTGGGAATGGCTTATGGAAAGAGATAGGAAAGGTTCGGAGATGTTACCTACTAGTGAAGAGCTGGAATGCCTTCAGCTCTTCTGTATGGGAAATTCTGGTCAGAGCGCAGAAGACCAGAATACTGATAGAAAGCTGGCCTGTAAAGATCAGGCTGGAGAGGTTTCTGTTGGGGAGAAGGACTGTATTGATTGTTGGAATGCAGATGATTTGTGTTATGGGTTGGCAAAGAGTTTGTCTGCGTTTTGCTCCTGTCCAGAGACTGCCTGAGACTGAGATTAAGCACAGTGGTCTAGTTAATCTTGCAAAAAAAAAAAAAAAATCTCAAAGCAGTTGAATGTTGAGGCAGTGGCATGGCTATTGTTGGGGGCTTTTAGTCAGATATACATTAATAGTCAAGAGCAAAAAGCCCAGTGGAATGAGTTAAAATGCTGTGTTTGGCCAGAAAGGAAGCACAGGAGGGCTGTGAACTGCAA